CTTTCGCTGTCTCATGACAGCTCTTCAGTGTAACTGACATTGACATATAATGACGTCATACTTATGATGACGTCATAAATTACAACTGTGACGTCATAATGTATTTACACACTCCAGCGACGACACCAAGTAATTTAACAATTGTAGGGAGACATTTGAATTAAATATACAGTATTTGTAAAGTAACAGTGCAACATTTACGATTGAAGTGACAAATCTATTAATACATTCTAGAGTTCAATTTTGGTTTCATCAATTGGATAAACATTTGTTCTTTTTCCAGTCTCAGCTGCTTGTTACTTGTATACAATTTATAAAACGTAAAAATAGTAAATTTCCCGTTTCCGCAATCATCAATGTGTTTGCTGACACCTAAGCATCGAACATTAGGGTCTCTAATCTGCTGTTTGTGTACAGTGACTCTATCTTTTAATTCCATGCCGGTTTCACCGATGTAGTTTTCGCCGCATCCCGAACATCTCATAACATACACCACATCTTTGCTGCGGCAGTTCATGTCGGCTTTCACATTGAAACCCTTGCCATTTGCAAAAAGGAAAGTAGTACCTTCACTTATAATGTTACACGTGCCGCATCTTGGTGTGTTACATCTACTTACACATGCTACACTCTCTGTACAAGAATATTTGGATGGACACAGAATTTGCTTGCGATTTTTTGGTTGCCTGGTACTTTTTATAATTTTAAATTTATTCAGTCCTTGTTTCATTTTATCGCTTTGCTGTAGAATTGGGAGGTTGTCCCTTATGACTGGCATGATATCACAGTTATTAGGATTGAAGGTGGACACAAACGGTATAATTTGATCGCCCACAGATTTTTCATTAGGTTTCAGGAGAGTATGTCTTGGAATTTTTAAAGACTTTTCTATTGCGTCATTTATGACGCGAAGCGGATATCCTAGCTTCCTGAGATACCCGAATAATTCTTTCAATCTTAAATCTCTTTTATCCATTTCCGACACGATGGTACATACTCTCCGCGCAAGTGAATAAGGAATGTTAGTTCGTGTATGCCTGGGGTGACATGAACCGAATTGTAGGTATTGATGGGTGTCCGTTGGTTTGTAGTAGATATCAGTTTTCAATTTAGTATCTTCCTTAACTACAAGGACGTCCAGAAATGGAATTTCGCTCTCGCTAGTCTCCATAGTAAAACTGGAAGGATGGAGTTTATTAATAATATCCAGAAAAATGTCTAAATTTTCACGGGTTGAGAGCCAGACTAAAAAGCAGTCGTCCAAGAATCCAATAAATGACGCAATAGAAAAGTCTTTAAAAATTCCAAGACATACTCTCCTGAAACCTAATGAAAAATCTGTGGGGGATCAAATTATACCGTTTGTGTCCACCTTCAATCCTAATAATTGTGATATCATGCCAGTCATAAGGGACAACCTCCCAATTTTACAGCAAAGCGATAAAATGAAACAAGGACTGAATAAATTTAAAATTATAAAAAGTACCAGGCAACCAAAAAATCGCAAGCAAATTCTGTGTCCATCCAAATATTCTTGTACAGAGAGTGTAGCATGTGTAAGTAGATGTAACACACCAAGATGCGGCACGTGTAACATTATAAGTGAAGGTACTACTTTCCTTTTTGCAAATGGCAAGGGTTTCAATGTGAAAGCCGACATGAACTGCCGCAGCAAAGATGTGGTGTATGTTATGAGATGTTCGGGATGCGGCGAAAACTACATCGGTGAAACCGGCATGGAATTAAAAGATAGAGTCACTGTACACAAACAGCAGATTAGAGACCCTAATGTTCGATGCTTAGGTGTCAGCAAACACATTGATGATTGCGGAAACGGGAAATTTACTATTTTTACGTTTTATAAATTGTATACAAGTAACAAGCAGCTGAGACTGGAAAAAGAACTAATGTTTATCCAATTGATGAAACCAAAATTGAACTCTAGAATGTATTAATAGATTTGTCATTTCAATCGTAAATGTTGCACTGTTACTTTACAAATACTGTATATTTAATTCAAATATCTCCCTACAATTGTTAAATTACTTGGTGTCGTCGCTGGAGTGTGTAAATACATTATGACGTCACAGTTGTAATTTATGACGTCATCATAAGTATGACGTCATTATATGTCAATGTCAGTTACACTGAAGAGCTGTCATGAGACAGCGAAAGTAGCCTGCAACCTCGGGGTATCGCGGTACTTGTCATGTACGCTAAACGGAACAAAATGAACTCACTCACCTTTTTGATTATTCGTGCTCTCTATATCAGATATCATTAATTTGATCAAACAATGCATATTTTACTGATAAAAGTTCATTATTTACGTCGGTAGCTCCCAGTAAAAGCCGGGCCTCGCGCTCTGTTTTACAAGGGAGAGAATTCCATCGTATCGCGGTACAGAGAAAAGTTGTGTATGGAGGTCCGAATTGGACAAAAAGAGGACATAATTCTACCAACCACTTGGTATGATCATGCCAGACATCAGTGATTTGTCCAGACAAGTGCAAAGACAGCACAAGTAAAATTCTAAGTGTGTTATCAGCAATAGGTATTCAATGCATATTTACCGAAAAGTAAGAGAAAAATATTTTTATAAGTCAACATCAAAATATCAGAAATGATATTTTAAGATTGTTTAAAAAAATTGGATGACAATAATTTGTCACAAAATGGAAAAATGTTAAAAGTCAACAATAAATATATAAAAAGCACTCCTAGCATGCCCAAAGTATGTATTTATCTTTTGGTTACTAGTGAAGAACGTATTTCTAAGTTTGGCATCATGGCCCCTTATGATCTCACAATAGATTCTGGGCACAGAGCGGGAAAAAATGTGCGGACTACGTAACTTCCGTTACCTCATTAGTCGCTATGAATATGCAGATGATCTAGTTCAGGTCGATAGAGAAAGCTTACTTGGGGAACTCCGGGTTATGTCGTTGGCCATTGATAGATGGGGGTAAGGCAATATTACAACAGATGCCAGAAATATGTATCAACGGATTAATAACTCCTTACTTACAGCAGACGGAACATTCCGAGGAAATTGAAATTGTTTACGAAGTGAGCACTTCCTGGTTACTGATTTGCATTAATAGACAGCCGCTAAGAGGCGTGTCCCGCGTGAACTATCGGAAATCACAAATGCCGCGATACGATGAATGCCGCGGTACCACGGGGTCCGAGTATACTATGTATGAAACTGATATAAAGAAGATGATGGACTAACCACTCTCCTACTCAGAATTCCATGCGGCCGGCAGCCAGCTAGCATAGTACCTCTGCCACAGGCCAGCGCCATGTGACGATTCGTCACATCTTTCACAGTCCATTCAAGATATTGCATATGCTTTTCATCCGTTTCATGTTTGACAAGTCTACACATTTTCATAAACAAATGTCAAAGAATTGTTAACTTTCATTGAGAAAGTATACAAATACGTAAAAATCTACTTGTTTTTGCGTAGTTATCCTATGTTTACATTGGTTGTACGGCTCCACGTGCTGTCATCGAAGCGCAACGGAGAGCAAGCGACACGGTCACTTTGATGCATAAATATATATTGTCATGCAACTCATTGTCGCAGTTGTAGTAGCATATCTATATAGATATGCAAAACAATATGTAAAGCTCCCCCAAATACTTGCATTAGTCCGTTCTATACTGATTTCTGAAAAAGCGCGTTTATTTACAAACAAGAGAAAAGTCCGGTCACGTGATATGCAAATTAGCCTGTGGCAGTGGTGTTATGCTGAGTCACCACTGCGACGGAGTGTGTGGACTTTATTATTTTATTATATATATATATATATATATATATATATATATATATATATATATATATATGTTGTTGTTTTTAATACCTGCTTTAGATTATTTCAGAATTTGTTTTATGTTTCAGAAACGTGGATCAAGGCAAAACCAAAGAAAGAAAACTGTGACAATCAATAATTTAGAAAGGTGTAAAAGGTTTCTAAACATATTGTTATCTCCAGAGAACTGAGTCTTGGGGTTCTTTGTTGACTGAATGTTGAAGACACGGCATGGATTATCACGTCGGTCAATGATATTGTGTTTTCTGCAGTACATGCCTGAAGGGTATACAATCCCTGACTATTTGTCCTAATCTTTTTATCTTGTTAACTGTGAGTTGGTGTTGTAATCAAAACACTGAGCTTTTTCAACACCCTGGTTCGTTTTCAAAACATTTTGTAACGTAAAACCAAATGTTCACAGAAAACGTTCCTGAAATGTTTCCGGGACCATACAAATTCACTTGAATAAAACGTTCCCAAAAGCATTTCTGGAATATTTTACAGAAACATTTAAGAAACGTTATAACCAAATGTTTCCGGAAAATGTTTCCAAAACGTTGCTGGAACCATACATTATCACGCGATGAAAACAATTTTTAAAACATTTCTGGAACGTTTCGTAAAATGTTTTAGGGATGTTTTTTATAACATTTTCGAGTTAGCTGGGTTCAAGCAAAACATCTTATAAATGTGCCTACTGCCTATGTTTGTGAAATATACACTAGAATACTTTGGTTTAAATGTTTTATTTCTCTAGAAAAATGAAAAGGAGGACATATGAAAGTGGCATTTCCAATATAAAAAGAACGATTTGTTAAATCAGCCTGAAGAAATGAAATAGATTGAGATCTCGCCATCTGGAACCATATAACGTTATATGTTTTATAACAAATAAAAATCAACCGAATTAGTAAATTCACCGAATAAACACACACACAAAAATAATTAGTAAACACTTTCATTCTTTGAAAGTTCTCTAAATTTATTTCAAAACAGTTCAGGACACACTGAAAAGAAATGACACAAAATAGCTTTAAGTTAGCATGTTCGATCTATTGGTGTTATTCAAATTCACACTATTAATTCCACGAAATATATACCAGTGAGTCGACACTCATTTATATTCTGTGCGCTTGTGTATGACTCATACGACGGAGTTATCTGCCCCTGACGAGCACTTGTTGATAAGAGATTTCCTAAAATACCGTCACGACTACAGCTACTTAGTGACATCATTGTACATAATGATACACAAGTCGTCGCTATGTGTGTGTGTGTTCATAGTTCGTACATTTCTCTCAAATTGAAGATAAAAATGCAACAATAATCACGTGACCATCCATCAAGATGGCGGACGAGGGTGTACTTCCGCTCTTATGATGTAGATTGTGAAAAGAAGATTAACGTTCATCAAATGCTGAGGTGTCTTTGGAATATTTCGTGGAGCGCACCTGCTGTGTAGTTCCCGACGTGAATCTACAGACATGGGATCGCGTGTCAAGTATGTCGATACTGTTTTGTTCAAATACCTGCTTCCGTGTTGTTGGGGACACCTTTCATTTGTCATTGATACAGTTCAGTTTTGACAACTGTTGCAAATACCGCAGGGGAGGAGTAGCGTGCTTGTTGTGCATGTAGCTTAACATTTCATTCATTTGGGGAAATGTGCAATTTTAGTTATAGAATTAGGGTTGAGATAAAGTCAAAGGAATATATTCTGGAGAAATGACAATACTGTTAAGATTCCAGCTGGCATATAAATCGCAAATCGTTGTGGATCACATGACAGTATGCGTACAATAAGTTGACAGTTTCATGTCAAGGTGCTTCTATTCAAGTTTAAGATACATATTTCTTTACAATATAATTTACCACATATTTTGAGTATCCTCTGGGCCTAATTATTCAAAGCCAAATGAACAGGTTAGATATTAAATATTGACAGGTATTCAGCTGGTGATGAAACTATGCTTGTGAAGATATCCAGTAACTTTAATATTTGTGAACAATACTTTCTTGCAAGTCAGTGCAGGGTTTTAACTTGACCTACCAAATAGGGCTGGGACGGGTCCAAATTTACTACCCGGGTACCCACCACCCTATTACCCGACCCTACCCAGGTACCCGCTGTAGATATTTAGAGATAGGTACAAACTGTTGGATTTGGAAAAGTTTGACCGTAGCCATGGCAAAATGTATTCAGATACACGTGTAAAACGATCTGGTCATGCATACACTGAAGTTTAATGCATTAGGTTTTATCTTTATTCAAACATATAAAAGTAAGAAGTAATGGGTACATTATCAGAAAGAAATGGGAACATTAGTGTCTTATATTGTCACCAGAGTTTCAGATAATTTTTGTCATTAAACAATATATATCACGTGACTAACCACGGGTCCGGGTAGTTCTGCGGGCATGGTGGGTACCACCCGACCTGAGTTACCCGTCCTAGCTCTACTACCAAACTAGGGCTCCAGGGAAACCCCAATAGTAAATTTGAGGGTCCTGTAAAGTAATGAAATAATGTAGTGTACTGTATTGTAAGATTTCATAATTACTTAAATTAAAGGACCTTTATGTTTCTTGTCAAGAATTTGGTAGAATGGCATGGTAGGTTATCCTTGTGAGTCTCGCATGCCAAGTCACCCATGATACAGTACCTGTGTCCATTGAATGGTGAAATCATGGGGAATGTGTCGATTGATACCCAAAATATCTCTATCCCCCAAATTTAACATGTCTTCCTCAAGTGAGAGTGGGGCCTTAGAGCATACACTGTCTTCTTATTCCAAGAACATAATACTTCATGGGCAATGGATCTACAGGAAATATCAGCTGTTTCATCTGATCCATAGTGATACTTGTGCCATCAACATGTTTAAACAATACTTCCTTTGTTTGTGTATTGTTTAACTCGGCAAAATTCCACCTATATGACGGCGGTCTGTACAACACCTCTTTTCCTGTAGCAATACAAGAGTTTATCTATTTACCAGGCATAGAGAAACAAGACAAGTCCATTTGCTTTGATATTAAAGGCATCTTCTGGGGGCAAGTGGGTTTTTTGGATGTGTGTGTGTGTCCTCGTGTCTTCTTACACAAGTTATTGCAATTTGGGGTAGTGAACATTTTATGTTGAAAACAAATATTCTACCACTGAAACACTCATCTTGTACATTCAACATCCCCCATCTCCTCCAGGGAATATAAAAAGATAAATATTGTTTCAGAGTATTTATATTTTGTATGACAGAAGCAAAATAAATTCTTCATCTGAATCTCTTAAAAACTTCCATGCCATTCACACCCAAACCCAGAATATTGAGTGATCAGTTCCATTGATTCCTTTATCTTCAACAATAATGTAACACAGCATGGTCAGAGTAACAATAATCTTCTAGGTGATTGGTAAACGGTTGCTGATGATCCTGATAATGATATTCAACATTTTTCAGTGGACACAGTTACCATTACTTATCAGCTTTGTCATAACTTTGACAATAATGATTACTCTTCAGTTGACGTGTTAGTTACTCTAGTAGAGTTCTCTTGTAGTCTTGCAGTGCACCTGTACTAAGCAAGCATCTGTCACCTGTAGTAGTAGGGGATAACAAGGGATAAGGGATCACAAGACTTACATCGGAACAACGAGAAATAGGGTTGTCTCAATACACCGATGCGTTGCAACTTTACACCTGGTGATATGATACAACACCTACCCATGTGTCTGTCCAGTCATGTTGTAAATCTGTAATTCGATTTTCAAAAAGTAATATTTACTACATTTTGCAATAGGCCTAACCCAGGCAAGACCTTCAGGGATTTATCTAGGATTCCATGGTTAGTGCCCTTGGCAAGCAAATTGGGACAAAATTGTGATATTGTTCAAAATTTGATTTCTAATGTTCCTTTTTGTAATTTTTAAGAAGTAGGAAATGTTTAATTGAAATTGGGAATTTAATCATTTGCTGCAGACTTTGACCTGAATATCGGCATCTGATCAGGTCCAGTTAACGCCCAGATCATGAATGGTTCCTCATGAAGTACAACTGAATACTAACTAACATTCCACTCAGGGACATGAATCAAAGGAGGATATGACTTTCATCAATGGATGAGGATGAAAATCTGATAGTTATATATTTCCTTAATGCAATATGTCTGATAACTTGACTAGCCATCAGATCTTTTGTCAGTACATGTCATTGTGAAATACATGTGACTGTTCCTTGTAAATAATTTTGTGTCCCTGAAAGCACTTGATGACATTTGTTCTGCAGTATGGTATTCTGATATTGTGAAGATGTGTCTAATTCCACGAACAATGAGAGTATATTTTAAATCATTTCTCAGTGGTAGTTTAAGAGTTGTCTTTCCCTGTCTCCTATGTGACAAGGTCCAAGGCACTCATCTATGACAGATTCAGTGGTTATTGTGCAATTATTGTAACAAAGAAACTCTGACTTGAAGCAGTGGCTATATTCTAAGGTTGTTCTGCCACTCCCAACAATACTGCAGTTAACAGATATCCTGCCAAGCCTTTGTCTAACTATTGCATAAGATGAGAATATTGCATAAAATGAGAATCTCATTTCCACCATGGTGATGTCAGCTCAGTATATGTCCCCTTGACTCCATCCTTGTTCAGAAAGTTGACTTATATGGGGGATTGGGTGTTCATTGTGCTTACTTGTACTTTGATAGTTCTTGATAAAGGAGAGTAAAGAAAATAAGTGTAAAATAATTTTTTGTATTAATCACAATTCTGTAATCATGGTAATAAATTTAGCAATGCATTATGTTTTTAAAAAAAATCTAATTTGTTATTTCCTACTACCCCCCCCCCAACTCCACCCCATCCCAACCCTGGCCTTCAGGTATTTTGGTGAAATAAATATGTAAAACTTGTTACTAAATTGGTTTCGTCTATGGTCTGACACCCTTTTCTAGACTTCACTATTGTGACTGTAAATCACAGGTTTTCAGTCTGGTCAGAAGTGAACTGAATCCAGAATACAGCATCATTTGCCACAGTCGTGATGGTCACTCTATCTCATATCGTGCTTATCAAGATTGTGAAGATGTGGCTGTAGGTTATCTCAAGAAAGTCATGTGATAACTTATCATATAGCCACAAGTCTTATTGCTGACTTGACATGCTGAATGTGAATCCTGAAATTGTCTGCAGCGTTGAAAGAAAGGGACCATTATTTCAAAACCATAGTGTTTCACGTAAAATAATTACTAGATTGAATTTGAAGTTCTTGGGCAATAATTGACTAATAGTAATACGATGTTGAAGTCCCCAGGTTTTGTATTTTTTAGTCTTAACACTGCAGTATAGGTTGGTATTGATCTGTGTATCACCGTAAATATCTCATTAAGATACATATCCCGATACAGACAGACGATATCCCGATACACCACAACAGATACTGAATAGTAAGCAATGATGAAATCACAGAAATACAACTCTATAACTTCTTGATTCATACATTTGTTTATTATTGCCTCAAAGACATTAACAACATAAATATGAGAACAAAATAAAACAGTTCTTTTAGACAATGGGATGGTTATTGAATACTTACTGTGAGTGCCATGCTACTTGCATCATTATGGGAGGTAACTCCATCAGTTCCTGTTCTATTTATAGCGTGTCACGTTCTCGCAAACTGACAATTCAAGTATCCTCTGTACCTAAGTATCAATGATATTGTAGGTATTGGTGAACTGTTACGGCACTTTCATCGCTAAATGAGGTCTTAGAAATTATAACTTATGCAACGAAAATGATTTTTCAATAATAGTATCAATACAAATTATCCAGGGAGTGAAATGTTTTCAAGCATGCATCAGGCACACTTTACGACAATACTTGTCATAGGAGGCGACTATCAGGATCGGGTGGTCAGGCTCGCTGACTTGGTTGATGCATGTCATCGATCCCAATTGCCTGGATTGATGCTCATGATGTCAATCACTGGATTGTTTGGTCCAAACTCGATTATATACAGACCACCGTAATATAGCTTGAATATTGCTGAGTGCGGCGTTAAACAACAAACCAACCAACCAACCCTTAGGGATTCCAGGATACACTGCTGATGCTTTCCAATACAAGATTAGCCCGCGTGGTATTGTTGATCAGCATGTGTAGTTTTCAGCAGTCGAAATAAAACATGAAAGTCATGTGGTCATTATCGTAACGAGTGTGAAAAAACGTAGGATTTAGATCCTGGTAGTCCACACCGCCTGCTCAAAATGTAGGGGTTTCTTTTCATTACAGACTAGAAATGGATGAATTTATAATTTATTCATTGTGGTAAATGCCACATAAATATGAAAACTAAATGTCAAATTGAAAATGGCTGGCAGTAAAAATGGTAAAAGTAATTTTGTGATAAAATCACATTCTTGGTCAATAATATGGACATGTAGACTCTGCTTTTGGACAAGTGAATTTGTACTGTTTATCTGTGCATGGACAATTCTTC